TGTGTGTGTGTGTGTTTGGTGTGTGGGTGTGTGTTTGGTGTGTGTGTGTGTGTGTTTGGTGTGTGTGTGTGTGTGCTTCGGGGGGAAGATGCTGGGTTTCTTTGGAAGATCATGTGCCCTGTGGCTGAAAAGTTCAAAGATGATAACCTACTTTGGCTGCTCAAATCTCTAGCTAGTACCTACCTCCGTGCTGTTCGGATGCCTACGGATGTAGTTTGTAGAAATAAAATTCCCTTAAGGTCCAAGGACTGAGATACTGTGGTTTTAGAGCCCAAATACTATATTATCTGAATGATATTTGGCGCCTAGATCCCTAAGATTTGGGTCCTTGGACCCTTTGGGTTGGAGTTTAGGGTTTGGGCTTAGGGCTTGGGTGTTTGCGCTATCTGGGCCTCTTGCACAGAGGGGGCAGAGCGCTTTTGCAGCTTACTGTCCCTATGAGGGTCCAAGGACCCAACTAATAGGGTTTCAGGCTTCAGGGCTCAAATACTATAATAGTAATGGTATTTGGGCCCTATGGCCCTGTTATTTGGGTCCTTGGACCTTGAGGGTGTGTCTCTCAAGGTTGGTCCTGGGTCTCAGCGGAGAAGGCCGTCTTAGGGATTCCGTTCATGATTTGTGTTGTGGAGAACCCTAAAGCCTAAAACCCAAACCCGGATCCACTCCCCTACTCGCCCGTTGGCACCCTAGACCTCCAAACCCTGTAGTGCTTCCATCTTCTTTCTCACTCCCCCGCTCCCCCTTAGGCACCAAGAAGTAATGTAGAAGTGCAAATAGCAACCAATATTGGAGTCCTAGATTTCATGTTTGATTCCTGTATACGATACATCAAGTGGACCTGAACATTTTGTTGGTACTCATTCCTAAGCCCCAAACCTCAAACCCTAAACCCAATTAGGCCCTTAGAAGAATGCACAGGCAAAATGGGAAGCCCACCTGCAGCGGAGACTTTATCCAATCCCATTGTGGTACCTTGGATGCACGCACGGGCGCTGCACAAATTGGGGGTTTGGGGGGTTCTGGGATGTCTGGGTATCCTAGATATATGCTGTGTACATTCTAGAAATGAAAACTATGGGGTGTCGTATATGTGATATTTGTATAATTTGGACCCGTTAGGGTAGACCTCCTCAATAAGGGCCAAACGATTAAATCCTAAACCCGAAACCCTACACCCTAAATCCTAAACCCGAAATCCCTAACCCTAAATCCTAGCCATTCCCCTCAAAAAAGAACCCTCGGAAGCCACTGCAAAGGCAGCTCAGCTCAGCAAGACGAAGTGGTGCATCCAATTTCAGAGGCTTTCCCTAAGGGTTTAGGATTTAGGGTTTAGGGTTTAGGGTTTAGGATTAGGGCTTCTTACCCTAAGGGTCCATGTAACCAATAATTAGGTACATGGTTTTTGGGTAATAGTGATTTTCGTGCAGATTTTGGGTAAGTATATGATTATTAGGTACTTGGATCCTTGGGGTTTGTTTAGGGCTGAGGTTTAGGGTTTTGGGTTTAGGGCTGAGGTTTGAGGGCTTACCTAGACCCTCCAAAGTAGTTCCTTTCTTGGTTTGGTATGGTCTTTTGGTTAGGACTCTTATTAGGACCACCAAAAGGGGTACTACATTGGAGGGTCTAGGTAGGGTTTGGGTTTGAAGGTTTAGCGTTGAGGGTTTAGGCTTTAGGGTGAGGGATGTGGCCCGAAAACCCAGTTTACAGGCTTACCCAGTTGTATCGTGGTGGATTGTGGGATGTGTTTCTTCCGGGCCTCTGGTTTAGGTTCTGTCGAACTCCCAAATGATCAACCAGTTCCTGTTGCATCCTGACTGTTGCATGCGGCAAAAAACTTGCTGTTGCACTCAGATCCACCACGGGGCTTCAAGGACTCATTTTTTTTGTGTAGAATAGTCCCCAACAGGGCAAATGATATGTAAACCCTAGCATTCATTGAGGGAACAGTTATGAATCTCAACCCTTATCTGGGGCTATCACGCGCAAAACACAGCAGTAAAATGCAACTGTGCTTGCAATGCTTCAAACGGCTTAAGCTTATCAGAATGGGCGATGATATGATACCCTAGGGTCCAAGTACGTAAAAATCATATACTTACCCCAAACCCTTTTCTATAATTACTAGTACCCAAACCCCAACTACCCACCATCAACCCTAGACCCTAATCCCGGTTTAGAATTTAATTAGGGGTGATGAGGATTATATAGGGATTAGACTAGGGTATAATATTGGGGCAATATAGGGATAAAGGAAAAATTGAAACTACTTACTAATCCCTAAACCCTCAACCCTAAAGGGATAGATTGGCAACAGGTTTCGGTAAAACAGCCCGCCGCTAAGGGGTTAAGACCTGGCTTCAGGTTCTGATGTAGGGTTTCGGTCTTAGAGATAGAGAGCTTTAGGGTTTAGAGGTTGAGCTTTCATAGGTTTTATAGGTTTTAGAGGTTTTGAGGTTTAGGGTTTAGAAGGGTAGGGCTCAAAAGGCTTAGAGGTTGAGGGTTAAGTGGTTTAGGGTTGAGAGGTTTAGGGTTTACTGTTTAGGGCTCCCTCAGCCCTAAACCCTAAACTTTAGTTTTGGGGCTCCACTCGCTCCTTGGTTGACGCTAGGGTCAAGGAGCTCTTTCTGCGGATTCCGCGGGGCTTCAAAACTTTGGAGACCCTCGAGGAGGTTTAGGGTTTACCTGGACCCCAAAAGTATGTAAAATAATAGCCCTAAACCCATAATAACAGCCGTAGCCGCCATGATTTAACATGCTTTGGGGTCCAAGTAGGGCGTAGCCAGAAACCGGTCAAGGATATCAGCCTTGACTTCCTTCCTGGAGGTTGATGGGTACTTGTAGGTATTGCCTGAAGTACCCAACTAAGTAGGATCATCACTACCTGAACCCCAGAACCCAGAAGTAGCCTGAACCCCGCAAGTAGGAAAGATTATGCTCCAAAACTACCCAAAACAGCACAAAAAATGTTCTACATATTTTGGGCTTGGGTTGCGGTTGTTCCTTTTTTTCCAACCCAGGCATAGTGGCAGCAATGGCCAGAACAATTACCAACAGAATTTCCTCCATGTAGCTGTAGTATAATGTACGCGAAAATCGTTATTTAGATAGTCAGGCCCCTACATAGAAGCCACCACAAAAACTCAGTATACAAACCCACGTTCCATTGCATGCTTCCCACGTCTTTTGCATTTGATTCTCCACGATTGTCAGAGGGCCTTGCATTACCTATGAACCTTCAAGCAAAACATCCCCAAAATTAGTCGAACTGTCTTGAAGGGGGGTGGCTTCGTGCAACAAACATGCATTCAAATTGTGTAACCGTATAAGGGCCCAAGTACCCAATCATTTGGTATTGGGGGCTTTGGGAACAGTGAGTGAGGGTAATGCAGATCTTCGTCAAGCATAAGGTCATTGGCATTGGAAGCCTCAGGGTAATAGTATTTGCCTACATCCAAATTCCCGCAACAATACGAGGAGATGCATTTCAGGCAAACTTAGACACTTCCCCAAGAGTTCTGAAGTACTCGGCTGAAGTCCTCTGAAAGTCCTCTGCAAAATTCTAAGCCCCACGGAAGGTCTTTCCCAAAAAGCCAAGCTCTTGACCAGCGACCTTAAAATGTCAAACTCCAAAGCCCCGACGCCTGACCCCTAGAATTCCAAACCCACCCTCGGGTTTAGGTTAGGGTTTAGGTTAAGGTTTAGGGTGAGCCCCCAATTCCTGAACCCCAGACCAGCAGAGGCTCTGAACCTAAACTTCCAGACCCCCAACACCTGTCAGACCCTCATGAAGTATAAGGCAACTACTCAATTTCGTAGTGAGCTTCTTGATCAGGTTTAGGGTTCAGGCCCTAAACCCTAAACCCTATACACCCTAAACACAAACTAACGGGTTCTGGAAGTTCTCCGATCTTCTACAGCCCAGAGGGTCCATGTAGCTGCATGGTATATACCTGGTCGCCAAAGTAGCTACATGGGAGCCCTTTTGGGCCTTGAATATATCTAAGGGTTTAGGGTTTCAGGCCTATATACCATATAGCTACATTCCTACACCCCAACCCCAAACCCAAACCCTAAGTCCTAAACTCTCCTGAGGGGATTCTCTCTGACCCTACTTTCATAGTATTCCGGCAGATGGAAAAGGGTGCGGACAAAACAACAAATCTAAACCCTAATGAACTACCTATGCAACTACCGCAATGAGGATATACATTACAAAGTGGCGTTTCCTTATGATAGTAATTCACCCTGAGCCCTAGAAGCCTAAAGAAGCATAACTCCTAAATCCCGCACCCTATAGCCTACAACCCTAAAAACCCTAAGACCCTAAACCCTGAAATCCTAGACACTGAAGCCCAAAACCCTAAACCACAAACCCCAAACCCTAAGTTCCGGGCAGGGGAGCCTGCAAAGAGCGGAGATGCCGCTTCGCGCATTCTTGGCATGAGCTCCGGACGCCACCGGATCTGGCGTGCGCCGGCTGCGCAGGGAAGATAAGGGTTTAGGGTTTGCTGTGACCCTAAGGGTCCAGGTATCAAATAATCATATACTTGCCCAAAACCTATACTATAATTACTATTACCCAAAACCCAAGTACCTAATCATTGGGCCAATCCACCCAAACCGATTCCTTTTAGGTTGGGGACCTAAGCTGATTTGGTCAACAACTCAATGTTCATGTTTGTGTTATGCTGTCGTTTCGGAAGTGGCTTTTGACGGCCTTTGGCCCCTGGGAGGTTTCTTGGAGGGCCCCTAGCCCTCGTCAAGGACCCTGCAAGGTCCCCTTTTTTCGGTTTTTTGGTGTGTTCTGTTACCAGATTGATACCCCCCATGGCTGTGCTGAAGCGGGGCCAATTAGTTCGACCGGTCGCCATCATAGGTGGGCGGCCTAAGCCTTGAGTTTAGGGCTTAGGGTTTGGAATGGTTTAGTGGCTTAGGGTCTAGGGCTTAGGGCTCAGGGGTCAGAATAGGAGATCACTTCAAGGGGTATTGAGGGGTTTTATTATGGGCATCATGTAGGCTTTTTGCGTTCAGGGTTCGGGGGCCTTGTCCTCAATGGACTGGTCAAGCATCATATTTTGGAAGAGAAAGCACGGAAAATGACATGGAAACTTGCAGGGGGATAGTTGCACTAGTTGTTCAGTCATTTACGGAAGGTAGTGTTGTTGGGGTTTGGGGTCCAGGAGGTGGGTGGTCTAGGGTTCGAAGTTCAGGTTTTACAGTTAGTATTGCATGAAAGATATTCTCAAAAGACATGGGTTTCTTTTTGAATGCTTTCATTGCAAGGCTGGAGCACAAGCCCTGCTATGAAGTAAACTCACATGCTAGTCTCCATGAGTAGGCCGCCATGTATCAAGTTCAAGATTCTTATGCCAACTTACCGAAGGATGAGACTACTTAGGGGTTAGGATGTAGGGATGCTACCCTGTGAGGGATAATGGCATATTATAAGAAATTGGAACATGGCCTAGACGCTTGGGTCCTATAAGGGGTTCACCGTAATTAGTCAGCGGACGTTCCGAACCTCAACCCCCAAGATTAGGACCCTACTATAGTCATGTGATGCTTATCGACCCTAATCCCTAAGGGTCCAAGTCCCCAATAATCATATACTTACCCAAAACCTGTACCAGAATGACTATTACCCAAACCACAAGTACCTAATTCTTGGCTACGTGGCCCCTTGGGAAATTCTAATAGTAGTGCGGGGCAAATAACTCTTTTTGCGTAGGAGCGCCACAACCAAGCCCTAGGGCACGAGAAGGTCCAGGGTTTAGGGCTAATCAAGCCCAACAGTTTAATTCGAATATACATGGCTTTACTTCAAGGAAGACCTAAACAGAAGATTCCGGAGTCAATACAAGTAGAGTTATAATAACCAGCCAAGCAGGCTCATAATAAGTTACTACTTGTAACTATGTGATCATGCGTTTTCTAGCCTTCAGCAGAGATTATATAGGGGTCTATACTGGAGGCCCGTGTTTATGGAAGCCCCGACATATAGTCCCCCCTACGTAGATTATGGAATTTCCCACAACCCTAATGAGATCCCTAGATACCCCGTTACTTCGGGGGGACTGGGGGATATAGACCCTTGCCCTAACCGCTAAAATCCCCTAAATCCTAAACCCTAAATCCTGTACTATCGATGCATGGTTTCTTCTTGCTGACTGACATTCCTGTTTTAATGGATGATTGCAGGCTCTGCGTTGGCAAGGTTTCCAGTTTTAGGTTTTGAGATTGTTTCGGGTTTAGGATTTGGGTTTCAAGGTTTAGGCTTTGAGATATAGTATACAGGGGTTCAGGATATGGATGCAGAAAATACAACACCTTTGTAACGTACCATGCGCCGTCTTGACAGCAGACTTGGCTGAATATAGTTCATCAGCCCTCGAGCTATCCTGATGGCGGTGTTCTTGCCTGAGCTGCGTTTGTGACTCGTTGGGGATTGTCCCGGCCTGTCACAGTGGTAGAGTACGTGGTGCGAAGCTAGAAATGCCACGTGGCTCCAATCCTATTGGAACTTCGCCAAACCTTATGGAACTCTAACAATGAGGTTCACCAGAGGATGATGGAGGTTCCCATTCAGCATTCTACAGGGTTACCGTACTTCCGAGAAACTGTCGTGGTTGAATGCTTGTCATAAGCAAGTGGAAGAGGAAAACGGCTAGATAAATCGTTTAGGGTTTAAGGATTTGGGACCTGAGGCCTTCTTGGTGCAATCATGCTCCGGGCCAGGCCGTGTAGTTTTCCTCCTGATACACAAACCACATGTCCTGGAAGCTTGCACTCTGAAACGTCCTGCGGTTTTTGGTTGAGGCGCAGATTCTGGTTGGCAAAATTTCAAAAGAAAATGAACAAAATGCGACAAGAGACTTTGCCTGGCTGATAGAAACCTATACAATGACAGCCACGTGTACTATAGCCTGAACTCTTTGAACGAGGTTGTATCCGGGATTATATACGAGAGTATTCTAGGGGTTATTAAGAGGGATATTAGGAGTTTACATTATAGCTCACATAACACCTGTATGCTTTGAGGTAGGGTTTGATCAGAGGTCCAAAAAGACACTGCGGTCAACAGGTCCTTGTGGGCAACGAGAGCTGTTCATAATTGGTTACGTATGGTTATGCTCAAGCCAAAAGACATGTGTTGTATGTGTTAGGATGTCTGATGAAATCAGCAGGATTGTTCCTCTTTATGGTTATGGTGTCACTTGCCAGAACTTTGTTAGCAATTTTCCCGTTCACAGTTTGTATGTTTCACGCGTCTTGCAACATGAGTATACATTATACGACATCGCGGACGCGTCACAATACACACTTGACTTGTTGCAGCGTGCCGCAAGGCTGGGTGCATCTGAAAGGAAGCAGTGGCTCATCGCGGTGCATATCCACACGTCGTTAAGAACTAGCAATGTTCCAGGCCCAAAAGTAGTTCGCGTTTGGGTTTGACGGACTTGCAGCAAGAAGCTTGATCCCCCGCGGGTGCGGGAGGCTCTGGAGATTGGCGGTTCTGAGTGTGCCTTGGGTCTCTTGCTGTTGAACCAAAAGCTTTAGAAATATTTTGCAATGCTGCATGTCCGTGAGGTACATGGCATGTTACACAAACGCCAGTCATCCGTGGGATTGGTGTTTTGTGTTTGAATCAGTCCACTGACGTGCATGATGCTGCCTTCTTCACATGTGCTTAAAGGTTTCATGGTGAATGCAGGGGAAATCCTCACCAATTACACAGAAGCGGAGCTGTCAAGCGAAGCTGTCAAACATATGCGCTTGTGTTTTATATGCGTGACGCATTACCCATGCGATCGAATTTTTGCGTTTTGCAATGGCGCATTGCATGTTTTGTGTGTTGTTTAGATTTTTTGTTTTTGGTTTGAATGCAAATGGCGCTGGCTACAAGGGAGCTCTGAGCAGAATGCATCGCTCTCCATTCAGCTCAGTCTGTTTAAGTGCTCCTTCACGTTGCAGCTTGCACACGCAGCGCGGGTGTTGGCAGACATTCAGCATGACGTTGATATGCATATAGCGTCGGAGTTGAAAACCATTGACAGTGAAATCCCACTTATCCAAGACATCAAGGGACATGTGCCGTTTCCTGCGCAGATTTTGTGCGAAGGCGAGCTTCTCGTGGTTTCCGTTCATTCCCTTGGTTTTTTGCATCATTGGAACTGATATTTCGTTTGAGGGGTAGATGGTTGAGCTGGCTCTAAAGCTTGGAATCTAGATGCTGCAGCCTCGTGAGCGATTCCGTTTCCAAGCGTTCTGTGGTGGAATAATTCCGCCATTCAAAAACGATTTCCCAACAAGCAAAGCCCCAACACAGCAATCAATGCAGGGTTTGTTTTGGGCAGGGCAAAACTACTTCAAGCCTTCCCGCACCTGCTTGGTTCACCTGACGCGCTACCGTGTGGACTCACGCACGCCCTCTTCTTCAAAAAGGCAACGGCGGGTCCCTTTTCAGGTTCCGACTTAGTTTGACGGAAGCAAGGCATTGACAAGTGAATCCTGAGGTTTCAACCCTTAGCAACCCCATCCCCGCCTGAACCTTAAACACAAAATTCAAATCGGGGTGACCAAAGCCTTAAGCTGTAAGCGGTAAATTTTCATCACAAATCGTATGCCCAAACTCTTGAAGCGTGATTCTGAGGAAGACAGCCATCTGTCGTGCGTTCTTGCGCATCTGGATCGCACCTATATGGGGTTCCATGTTACTTTGGGCAAGGGTATGCTACTTTATTGCAAGATATCACTGTTCCTCTATCATAAGCTGCAGCAGGACTTAACGTTGAGGAATTAGTGTCTAGAGTTACCACTTTACATTAGGGGGACTTCTGGTACACTCAGCGCTAAACCTTTAACCGGTTGTGCCTAGGACTCGAACGCCCCTTCTCTGACTGTAGCAAAGAACTGTTGCCACTGCTTTTTTTTCTCGGTAAATACGCCCACACCTGTGATTTTGGATGGCTTTGAGGCTAGGCGAAATATTTGGGGGTACAGGTTTGTTCGTCCTGGCCTCCTAGCAGCCCAATGTAGGCAATATTTATGGACTTCAGGGCCGAATGCAGGAATTCTTGATAGACGTGAAACCCAAGGTTATGCTTTTGAATCCAGCTTCGATCAGCCCTTGAAAGCTAGACGATCCACAAGGCCAATAAATTTGACTTGTCAGCAAACCCTAAACCTTACTTGGACCCCCAAAGTAGCTAGAATACTAGCCCCGAACCCTTGAATACAGCCAAAGCGGCAATTATTCTGCAAACGTCTGGGGTGCAGGTAAAGATCCAAAATAGCCCAATGTAAGTAAAAATTGCATACTCAAGGGCCCAATGTATTTACTTGTATCTTTGGATCCAAACTCCCAAGATCATACAGCCGAAATTCCAACGATGAAGCCCAAAAGCCCGAAAATTCACAGGCTGTCTACTACAGGCTTAGTACTGCAACTCTGAGACTTTGAAGCCTAACGAACCTAGACCCTCAAGAACAAACACTGAAACCCTGACTCTAAACCCTAAACCCCAAAATCCTAAACCCTGAACCCACAGACTTCTGCTTACTAGAGGTGGACAGTGTGCAGAGGCCGTGCGCCACGGGTTTACTCGTTAGGGTTTAGGGTTCAGGGTCTTCAGGTCTGAGGGTTTTGTGAGCTGTAAGTTTCAGCTTCCAGGCTAGGGTCCATGGTTCTTGAGCCTAGACCCTATAAACCTTAAACCCTAGACCCATTGTGAGGACTACTAAAGCGAGTTCCCTTGTTCCATAGTAAGCACAAAGTAGTTTAGCCCCGAGCCAAGCTTGAAAACCTTGAGCCCAAGTTTAAACCTTGATGTAGGGGCCTGGTTTAGGGTTTAGGGCTTAGAGTTTAGGCCTTATTGTTGAGGGTTTCGGGTTCAGGAAGGGTTATTGAGAGGGGATACTAGGAGTTTAGATTATAGCTCATAGTTATAGATTGAGATTTAGGGGTTCGGCGTTTAGAAGGACAGTAGTCTGTGTATATAGGTCTAAATTCAGGTTCCATGCTAGTTTTAATGGGACTTTATGGGATACTGGACAAGAAAATGGAAACCATTATATAATATATAGTATATTTGGAAAAGGGTTTCGGGTTAGGGGTTATTTGGGGGCTACATAGAGGGTACATGTTTCCCTAAATCCTAAACCTAAAACCCTAAACGCTTAAACCCTAAAGCCTAAACCCCCAACCCTTAAACCCTAAACCCCTAAACCCTAAACCCTAACCCCTAAATCCTAAACTTGGGAGGCCGACTGTAGATTCGCACACGGAGACGAGGAGCTCCGCGTCAGCCCCTGCGTGTACAAGACGCAGCTATCAAGCAGCGATAGAGATCTGGGCTTAGGGTTTAAGGGTTTAGGGTTTAAGGTTTAGGATTGGGAGTCAGGGTTTTCGGCTTATAGAGGATCTATTGGCTTTTGGTCGATCGTAGGGCATGGGGTTTGGGCCGGGGCTTAAGGTCTGAGGTTTGGATCTTCAGTTCGGGTCGGGATCCGGGAGATAAGGCTTAGGCTCTAGGAGGATCTTACGCGGTTTAGGGTGTAGGGTCTAGGGTTTAGGGTTTAGGATGGGGAGCCCTTGGATACTTTGGAGCTATAAGAAGATTATCAGGGCCCGCCTAGCTGTCAAACAGGCACGTTTAAAGTTCAGGGATCCAGGCTTATGGCTGAGCCTACTGCACGAGGGGGCATGTATCAGAGATCCGCAGATTCTGTGAGTGAATACCTTGCTCCACCTGTTCACAGACCTTTGTTGACGTAATAAAAACCCTTCTGGTGGACCCCCCACCCTGTAATACAGTGGATGGAGGAAATTTTGAACTTACAATACTGTAAATATTTTTTTGGGGGGGTATACGCTATAATAGGTGGTGCAAGATTTCCTCCATCCACAGTAGTTACTATACGGGATACTGGTGATTACGTTAGGGCCCTCTTATACTCTTAGTATACCACTATTACAGGGGGGGGCTCCGCCTAAACATATTTTCTTCGTGCCCAAGCAAACATGGACACGCAATAAGCCCTGACTGACGACTGTTCATTTGAAATACGTACTTGGGGTTAGTAAGGAATCAGGGAGTAGACTATGTAGGCACTATACGCGGGATTCTATGCCCTAGAATGGGCTATGGGCTCTCATGACTGCTTTCTATATTCCCTATAACTTCTGTGGCTCCGTTTTTGGAGGGTACACCTACTTACCTAACCTTCTAAAATAGGTAAAGTAATTGCCCAAAAAGGCCCAACATTTGCCGGCCATTGTTCTAAATTCTTCGGGGTCCAGAAACCAGGTCATCTCAAGACCCCCAAGTACCTTCTGGGAAGCCCGGATACCCGCAAATTGGAGGGACCTGCACGGATCCCTCTTGGGGGTACTTCGGGGTGCTGGTTCGAGTCTTTCTCTGAACTCTGAACCCTAAATCGTCCTGGCAGTCTGAATCCTCCAGGCTTTGCAACTTCTTCACGCGGGGGCACTGCAAGAAGGGTGCTGCGCTTGGAGTAGAAATCTGGCTTTGGCTCCCCTATGTGCAAGGGGTTTCCGGTTTAGGGGTTTGGTTGAACCCTAAACCCTGAACCCGATACCTTACGGTCTATCCAGATTCTTAGCATGATGCAAGGTGATTACGCCAGTCTGCCTTTCACACACGTTTGAGCTTATAGATATGCGTTTACTTGTACTTATACGTATGACTCTAGTTATGTCTGATTCTGCATATACATACGGGCGTACCTACACACACATACATACATGCATGCATGCATACATACATGGATGGATGGTAGTTTTCCGAAATACGAGGGCCCAAATATGGACCCCACACTACTGTAGTTCTTATCATGGGAACCCCCAACACTTATTACGGGAAACTCCCACATACATGTATACCTAGCCACATTTCTATATCTACAACGCCCTAGTATGTACTGTAGGGGGTTAAATACATACCAATAGCGTTTTCAGGATTTCGGGAGGTGCCCTATACCATTAGTATACAAGGAATCTTGGACCACACTAGTGGCAATTGTACCATTCAACCCCTATACAACCCCAGCTACCATGCCATTGTTCATAGTCTTGTCCGTTTGATTCTCTTTTATTAATGTCCTCAAATCCTAACCTCAAACTCCTAAACACTAAAACTAAATGCTAAGCGCAAGTCCTGCAACCTGTAAACCCTAAAGCTCGAATCTTAAACCCTGAATCATAGACCTTAAATTGCTACGTACAGCTGAGGCGAGCGCTGTCGGCACGCTCACGGCCTCAAAGAGCTGCGAAAGTTCCAGGAGCCTTGGCAGTGTCAGCTACAGTTTTCACGGGCTTTCCCTACTATCCCCCTCAAATTTGGGGTTCAGTGTTATACAACTAGGGGTTTAGGCTCCCCTACTATCCCCCGCAAGTTCTCCCTTTATAAGCCCTAATTCCCTACCTGATCCTCATTCAGGTGGAACCTTGGTTGGGGCAGCAAAGCGGGGTCCGAGAAGAGGAACACATGATTTTTTTTTGGGGGGGGGAGGGGGGGGTTATAGGGATACATAGGGTCCTAGTTGCAGCCTTATGATGCGCACTTGGCTAGGAGCAAGTTGTGGAGCAATCCAACCCTGTCAGAACAATCTCTGAACCCTCTGCTCCGAAGTGTAAGGGTTAAGGCCGTGCAAGGGTAGGTGGGTGCAAATATACTCGCAACGTTTAGACTTTCGGGCTTTAGCATCTAGGGGTGGGGAACCTTTTTGTTCAGTCTGAAGGCTTCTTCCTCCACGATGCTCAGGGACCTTCATTGTTGGAACATGCGCAGGTCATAATGCATGGTTCGGACGATTTAGACTGCTGTTGAAGAGAATTGCTGCGCATGTTGGGGGCGACACCCAACCGACAGTCCGGAACACATGTAGTCGCGTTTTTTTTGACGCTCGGTGAGGGTGCATTGTGGATGACTACTCCAGACTCCCCCCCCACCCCTGCCACCGCAGCCGTCACCACCATAGCTAGCCATATCGCCAGTACCATTACCAGTATGGTCTAGTAGACTCTTAAATTCCTTGTTAATCCCTTGGGTACTGCCCTTACTCTGTAACAGTTGGAAATGTACAGTATAGCCATATATAGCCCTTAGTATGACCGCTAATGAAGACCGTTACCCTAAGCCCTAAACCCCATATATAGCCCTTAACATGAACCCGAATATACACTGGTACAGGGTGGGGGCAGTACCCCATCAGGGTTTCGGACTTAGTGTTAGCGTCATGCTTTAGGGTTTAGGTTTAGGATTTTAGGATTTAGGATCCAGGGTTTAGGCTTTTAGAGTATAGGGTTTAGGGTTTATACCCCAAGAGGGTAGATTCCGGAGCCTCTAAGGTCTGATGGCCCATCCTGGTGCAAGCTTGGACCCTAACGTCCCCTACGTGATCCCTATAAAATCCCTACATACCTGTGTAACAGCCCAGAATGATCCCCATATACCCATATATGATCCCTATGTAATCCTTATATACCACTGTATACCCCCGATATCACCGTATCATCCTTATCTATAAGCCCTGAAACCCATGACTAGCCAAAACCTGCATGGCCTAGGATGGTGCTTCAGTTGCCCCACACTCAGAGGGTTTAGGGTTCATCCATTAGGGTTTAAAAGTTAAGATTTACATAGGGATATTGCCCCAAAGAATAGAAAATCAAGTGGACAAGATAGATGAGAAGCTAGGATTATAAAGGGTTTATAGGTGGGTACTAAGAATTTATGACCCTAAGTGCCAGATGGCGCGGGAATTATGTATAGTATACTAGTTCCTTAAGAATACTCATGAGTCATGAATGCCAATAGAACTAGAAGGTGAAGACCGCGAGCAATACTGCAGTAGCATGGATGCAGGTTCCACGGACCTGAAAGATTGTACCCTTGTATGAGTTGTAGTTTAAACTCCTGCATCCCCCTTTATAACACTTTTAATAGTCCCCAGTATAATCGCCTATATACCCCCCCAAAAGGAGTTTAGACCCTAAACCCTAAACCCCAAATAGTAGTTTCTTTTCCATTATCCTAATATAATCCCCTATATAAAGGAGTTTAGACCATAGCTTATAGAAGGCTGTTAACCCTGAGTTTCAAATACCTCAATTAGCGGCGATGTTTCGTGGTGTCGGGATCCCAGCCCTATTGTACTAACCCCAAGGGAAAACAGGGTTTAGGGTTTAGGGTTTAGGGGATTCTGGTACTGCAACTGTTGAGTTAGGACCATGATAGTTTCAGGGTCCTTGACATAGGGGTAGGGATAAGGGATAACTAAAATCCTGCTGAACCTCAAACTCCAATACCCTAAAAACGCCAAGCCCTACAGATCCTACACCGGATAATAGCCAGGATGCGATGGCAGGGCACACGCCCGGGCTGATTGGCAAAGATACCGAGGGAGGCTCCATTCGTAAACCCTAAAGCCTACACCCTATAGGGTTCCGGGCTGAGGGTATGGATTTCAGGATGTGAGCCATAGGCTTTGGGATTTGTGATAGGGAGCTACGGTAAGGATGTCGGATTTCCAGCAGGTTTTGGTGTGGTATGAGGTGCAGGATAAAGTGTCCAGGTTTTTATGTTTTGCTGCCGGCACCAGAGAGAGACGCACCCAAGCCTAGGGCTTTTAGGGAGATACCCCCTATCTCTTGTAGGCTCTGTGTAAGGACCCAAATAATGGGGTTTTAAAGCCCAAATACCATTAATATTATGGTATTTGGGCCCTAAAACCCTATTATTTGGGTCCTTGGACCCTTAGGGTGTGGCATTGTTGAAGAAGCAAAGATTGTCGTCGCTTCCTGTCTAGTTCCAGTTCCTGAGCCTCCGGTGACCCATACTGTTAATAGGGATCTCTGAGGGTCCAAGTACCCGATAATAATGTACTTCCCCTACACCTGCATTTATATAGTTACTATTCCCTAAAACCTCAGTACCTAATTATGGTTGGAGGCTAAACCCTAAACCCTATGTATCCTTATGTACCTCTATATATCCCTTTATATCCCCTTTCAAGGGACCTCATTATTGGGTATGTGGACCCAATGGGAATGGTACACTGCTTGGTCTGCTCAAGGGTCCATCGTGAGGGCGTAGATCAGTGGTTTAGGAGGTTGGTTCCCTTTTCTCGCATTCTGGCTCGAGGGTTTGCCATGGGTTTTGACGGGCCAGGGAAGTACATAGGTGTAAAATTACAAGTGCTCGTTTCATCACAAAGGGATGAAGATACAAGAAACAAAACAAATGGAAGACTCACCAAGCTAAATTTTGACAGCGACATATACACATGCTAGACGCACACAATCAGAACACCTGGGTTACCGCCGTACAGGGCTCCAGGTCTTAAACGCTTTCACATCCTTCGAAAGCATGATAGGGCCCAGATTCGCTCGGTTTTTTCTCGCTGTAAGAAGCTCGCTCTGAAATCCTAGGCTTTCGTCTTCGACCCTTCCGAAAACCTAACACTTGTATGCAGCAGTGTTCTGATGAAAGGGAGTAGGCTTACTGCATGTTAGTAGGGCATAGGGGAATATAAACCCTATGTAAGATATTCCCGTATTAATTCCCTACTAAGAATCAGTAAGTAGGGTATGGTATGGAGAAGGGTGGGGACCGTGGTTCTAGCTTTTGGGATTTTTGGCACATGTCATAGCAGAGCTCCCCAATCCTTGTCCTTGCGAGCAAGTAATATATTTTCAAGTCTACGAAGGTTCTTAACATGCTCATAGGAATGTACCTGAATCCCCAAAACTGAAACCCAAAACCCTTAAACAAAGGGTTTCGGAAGTCCTGGGAAGAGACCACCAACCTGCAGAACCAGACCCCTAAACCCCAAAAACCTAAACTCTCAACCCCGGAATATTTACGGTTTAGATTAGATACGGGTTAATGGTTTAGGGGAATAGCCTAAGCCCTCAGCCCTTCTTGGGTTTCGCTGGCAGATTCTCATGACTACTTCAGCACCCCGAAGAAGGCGCAGAGTGCCAGCATGGAATTTTCTGAGTTGGATTTAGAGTGTAGGGCCATGCCCTTAAACCCAAGGGCAGCTGATACAGAACCACTCTTTGGGGTTTCTTTGCCCTGAAACCTTGGTGTATCCCACTGAGGGTTTTAATTCCAGAGGTTGAGGATTTAGGGCGTCTCATGCAGGTATTACACGGTACATGGAGTGCACTTGTAATGACGGCTGATCACCTGGCTTCTTGTGATCCTTGAGAAGCATAAAAAACCCTTCCCGAAGGCATCTTGAGTCAGTTCAAGAACCTCGAATAAATCATACCCTAACGGTCCAAGTACCCAATAATCAGATACTTACCCAAAATTTGTATTATAGTTACTATTACCAATATCCCAAGTACCTAATTATTGGGTACATGGACCCTTAGGGATAGGGAGATTGATGCGTTGCGGACTTCTGCGTGGTTCGTAGCAACCAAAGTCAGGGAGTCGTGTCAGCACCCTTCCCTAAGGGTCCGAGTACTCAGCGATCATATACCTACGTACCCCAAAGCTGCACTACTATTACAATTACCCAAGCCCCAGGTACCCAATTATTGGACACTTGGAACCTGATATAGACTGTTGCAGGGTGGGGGCAGTACCCAAGCTATGTTGAATCCATGTTTATGGAAACTTGTAACCAGCGTTGGCAAAGAAGGAATGGTTTCAAGCCATTTAACTCCTCAAAATGACGATTTAGTTTTGACCCCAGGACGTTTGTCAATCAACTAAAGACCTTAAACCCTAAACCCCTAAACCCTACACCCCTAAGCCTAAAACCCTAAACCCGTAAACCCTACACCCACTCTTGGGCCTTCTTCGGGTCGGCTCTTTCTGGAGGGGCTGTCCACACTCTCCTGTGTAGGTCCTCCATTCGAGCCATAGTCTAAACTCCTTACACGGGGATTTATAGGATCATATAAGTGAGTCTTATAGTCGTTACTAACGGGGATACTAGGAGTTTAGAATATATTTCATTTGGCCTTTCGGATGCGATGCAAAGCTGAAGCTTTAGGGTTTTCTTGTTGGCTTGCTAGAGTTTACGAAAAGGCTCCAGGGACTCATATTGTAAGGCCCTTGGGCCAAAGGACCATACTATGAGAGGTTTTGCGGCTATTGTGGGGCTTATGAAGGCTTAAAGTTTAGGGAGGCTATGATTTTGGGGCGTGTTTGTGTTTAGAGCATGCTATGTAATGAGAATCCTACAAGGGGGCTTCCGAAAATGTTCTCTTTTTTTGGGTGGGGTCCCGATAATAATGATCATAATATTTGAGGGTCTATATTGGCTTCCCCTATTCAGAGAAAGTAGAGAAAGTACACTATATGACAGTTGTCGTATGTGGTAGTGGACCTTTGCCCATTCTTGGAAGTGTGGACTGCCACCTAAAATCATGTGCCCAGAACCTTGCCTTAGGATGTGACCCCCTATACTGGAGAATCAACTGAAAAGAGAATGGAACATGAAATGGATACTTGGATTAAATAGTGGGTCAGGAGCTACTTCCCTATGGCAAGCTTGCATTGCTTCAGGACTTTTTGCATTGTTACGGGTATATGCTCCTCACGAAAGGGGCTTAGAAGTTCTCAGGTGTCTATCTATCTACCTATCCATCTATCCATCCGTCTATCCGTATATCTGTCCATCAACTATACATCTATGTGTCCATATGTGTCCATATACCCCCAACACAACGCGATAGCCTAAGCATGATTCCTATAGAACCCTTTACAGCTTCCACTTTTTTACTCCCGGACATCATGTTTTCATCTTGGCACCGCTGAAATCTTTTCACAGTATACGACGCGAGGACAGCACAAAACTGAAGCAACCCCAAAACAGGTGTTAGGTTAAGTGGACCCCCCGCCCAGTAGTAGTG